CCAGACCAGCATAAACCAGCTTGGCATGGAATTTATGTTGTTTTTTAGCAGTGTGACATACTCTTATCTATAAAAAATGGACAACCATGTAGAAAATTCAGGCTTCAATATGACTCCCACTACTGCTCTTAACTGTTCAACATACTTTTGTCATTTTCTATAGGTAACAGTTTATAATATGGCATGAAATATATACAGTTGTAATTGTTGGGGTATGAAATTCCATTGTTTCTTCTGTTGTGGACCAAACATGGTTTACTGACTGCATTTGGGGTATAGGAATTATTATTTTTTAAAATTAATATAATCAAATAAAAAATATTTACCCCCCGTTAGAGATTAACTAGGACACTCTTCTCTCTGCATGTGAAATGTTGTGACTGTGTTGAGCTGCTAGTGAGCAATGAGAGGTAAAAGGGGAGGAGTTCAAATTAAGTGGACAGCACAACTTCAGCTCTATTGCTTAACAAGAAATAATGTGTAACTGACACAATCAATATAAATAAATCAATATAAATAAATAGCATTAAAACAGAACAACAATTTTAGAAATGTTGACTTGCTTGCTCACCTACAGAGATGAAAATACTGTTTGGTTTTGTAAATCATGCACATTTCCATTGAACTATACTCCAATACAATATTATATGCATTTGTGAAGAATGTTTTCATGGCTGCCCTAAAGGGGTTAAAGTGAAAAATTAGTAATAATGTCAGTAGCTGATTTGATACTGAATAGTATGGTTATATGAATGGATATTTAATACCGTATGCATCATATGTATAGGCACATCACATTTGCACCTCGATGTAAATAAATATTGTATTTGTGCAGCAAATTCAGATGGATACTACAGATGTTTTATCTGCAATAATTTTTATTTAAAAACCAATTAATATTTTTTTCATAGTGGTTAACTGTTTGTGTAGACATCTAAATTTTGCCTTGAGTTCAATTCCTCAGAACTGAAAAAAGCTGTGAAAATGGTGTATTTTTCAACCATTAAGACTAAAGAAATACTTTAGCCATCAAAGCTAATGTTGCAAACAATACATAAAATCTGTTTTATGTAAATGGTTCCTTGTTAACTTTCATTCATTTTTAGCCATGTTACCATATTGGGTGAAACATCCCTTTAATATTCGCAGTAGAGTCTGCAACCACAACACAGGACACGACAGTTTTTCTCATGCTTTCTTTTGCCATTCTTTATTTTATTACAAAGTTTAAAAAAAGAGTCAGATACAGTAAGAAATTCCTGTAGGAAGCCCCCCTGTCTGGGAGCTGCACAGAAAAAAGGTCATTGCATTTCAGCTGTGAAAGGTTTCAGTACATCTATCAGTTGGGGGGAGAATCCAGTAGAAAAGAGGAGGAAAACCCATAATAAAAATACAGACAAAAATAAAATCACCAGACTAATACAGTATATCTTACTCTGTCATTTATATCCATTTATGCATCAATGATAAACTTTACATAGAAAATAAATGTTTTTTTTCTTTCCTTTTATTTCAACAAAAATATTTCAAAGTGCAAAAGAAGATACAGAAGGTTATATAAGCTAAAGACGTCAGATATAAAACCCTTCACTTTCTCTCAGTGCTGTTCAATCATGGTCTTGGGTGGGTGTCCTCCTCAGAACCATGTTGCTCTGCTTTTGTAGCTAAAAGCAAAGTTTTAAAGATGCTAAACTGGGGAACATTTTACATTCCCATTCAGGAATTTCATGGCTTGTCTTCTTTTTCCTTCTCAAAAATAGCTTTCTTGTGAAAAGCTCTAACGTGTGGGAGGAAAAATGGTCTGAGTGTCATTTTACCCACACAATGCTAATTCTAAGTTCAGCTCCAGTCAGTCCAGCACACCAGAACAGACTCATGTCCAATTAAACTTCAGCGGAATACTTGACCCAAAAAACAAACTACTAATGAATTGAGGTTTAGGGGGGCCAGTTAGCAATACACAAATGAGCTCATGCAAACTTGTCCTTGCTACACTGCTCTCACTGTTAGCTACATTAGCATTTTTTGGTGAAGTACACTCTTAAATGGGGAACATTTCTGTAAAATTTGGTGGTTGAGATATAGACAGTCATTCCGAGTGGTATGATGGGAAATCGTTCATTTGTAGAGAAACTTACCAACTCCGATTTCTTTACAGTGGTGACAGGAACCAGGAGTCCCAATGTCTACAATGCAAATATAGCCAGTTTATTTACTATCCAAAACCCCCAATGAACATCTTCGAGTTTTTATATGTAATGTTGATGATGGTAAAACAAAGGCCAATTTGAAATTTTCTTTGGGGACTATTTTGCCTTACAACACTCTTCTTATATCCTTCCACCAGGAATTGATTAAAATAAATTGATTGAAACATGTTTTAGACCACTTTAGACCACAAAACTACCATCAAACATTCTCTCAGACATCAGGAAATGTATTCATAACCATTTCATGTAATAACTTTCTGTGAGGGAGCTTTTAGAGACATTAAACTCCTCAGACGTTCAGTTCCTATCACCACCACTGTAAACAATTCTGACTCGGCAGGTTTCTCTAGAACGAGGTGTTTTACTTCAAACCACTCAATGATTTTGATGACACATGAACCATTTAATTATGCTGATATATATATATATTTTTTTTTTTAAATGGTGGAGTTTCCTCTTACTGAGCCTTTAACCACAAAGTACTGATTTAGGGTCAATTCCAGAACTTTCCATCCTAACAGCAGTCACCAGGAGCTACAAAACAAAGCTAATTCAGCACTGAGGATCTCGGTGATCACACCTCAGTCATCAGCTTATTATTTTAGTCAATGTCCCAGGTAGGGATGAGTGATACGGCACAAAAAAACGCAATATTGCCAAACTAAAACATTTTCGCAACACACAGTATGTATCACAGTATTTAGGCTAGTTTTTTTCTGAGGTTCTCTAACAAGTTGGAACAGACACAATGCTCCAGCAAACAGTAGTGCTGAATAAGATATGTTTAAAAAATGTACTATAAGTATAAAAGAAAGTTTTATTCATAATCTAACCAAACAAGAGGAAAAATCTGTAAAATTATATATATAAAGATAATGGCTAATGGGCTAACATCCAATCGGCTGCTTGTTGCTAGGCGGTTTTCCTTTAACATTGTGACATCACTGGCTCTTGTTCTCTTTGCATTCTCCCTGTACTTAGTTCTAAATCTCTACTGTGTATGAAGCATACAGTGTTCTAGAACCTGATACCTGCATTAAGCTCATAAAAGCATACTGTAGTGTAATTTATTGCAATAATGATAACATTGTCGTATCACCCAGCCCTGGTCTTAGAAACTGACACAGAATGCAGCTCTGTTACTGTTCTCACTTAGCAGATTAGGCTAATAAGACCATCATCTTCCTCCATTTGTGTAAAAAGTAAGAAAGTAAATATTCATTCAAATATTTTAATACAGATCAGCAGGTGTCTATTGAGGCCACACACCCCAGACCATGATCGACAGACACAGAGCAGAACATTCACAGCACATTCGGTTAATCTCTTCTCAGGATTCCATCTCATTATTCCAGCATCCAAAAATCTCTTCATCCTAACATTATAGAAAAAGTAACATGCATGCAAACATCCTGTTTTCACCTGCAGAAGGCACACACCTGGTCTACAGGTAGTGCAAGCTGTTGGGTGGAAATGTGAGGTGAAATGCCAGCCCTGCAAAGTTAATCTCTCTTACTACGTACTGTTACGAAAACTTCACTGTTCAACTTCATCTCCAAATGGTAACTTTATACAGGAGGGGGAAAATGACTAACAACATTGTATTCTAAGCAAACTTGGACCTTTTCTGTTGGTTCATTCATCAGGAAATGTTCATACAATACAAAAAAAAAAAAGGGGCTGGTGTTTCTAAAAGGTGAAAGAAAAGAGGCTTTTAGGAACACAGCAATGATATACCCAAAAGACTTCAGTACTGATTGACCCCACTTTACAGGACCTGAGTGAACACCTTCAGTAGCTTTCTCATCTCCTCAGCAGTGCTGATCTCAGGTTTTCGCCTTATACAGGCAAAAGGTGGCTATTTAACCCAGCTTTAATATTTCAGTTGTTAGCGCAATCTTCACTGGCTTTAAAGTCTGACTAGAAATTTGCACCCCCCCACCAAAACTCTTCATGGTTTCCATCATTTGTCACTGATTATTTAGAAAATTATTCATACCATTATAATTTCACAAGTCATTTAGATTATATTGGTACAATCCAATTGAATGGCACCCCTAGTCCTCAGGTAAGACCAGCATTGGGGGTAACATTCTTAAAGCCTGTATTTTGTAGCAGCTCTTTTGGGTCCATTTCTAGAAGCTAGTTTCCAAGTTTTCAAGCAGTATTAGCCAAATTAATAATTTTAATAAAGTAGAACTGGCTGATTTCTGGTTGATGTAATGTAGCTGGTAATAACTGATGCCTTCCACTGCACTTGGGTTCAATTACCCAGCTGGGCACGCACACAATGCTATGCCAATAAGAGTCCTTGGGCAAGACTCCTAACTCTACATTAGCCTACCTCTCTCTGTGTTTGCCAAATGCATAAATGTATTAGTTTGCAAATATATCCTTTTCTATTGATTTTTTTTTTAAACTACCCCAAAAACATATCAGTTGCTGAGAAAGACAGAAAATTCCATCCATTTAGATTTCAATTAGTTAGTGGTGAGCTAATTTCTCCAAAAATCTGCTTTGTGTCTACTGAAAAAAGAGGCTTCTTTAAAAGTTGTCACAGCAGGCCACAGTGATACTCAACCAACCAGTACCTGAACAAGCTAACGAGAATGAGGCTTCTGCTCCACCCCGCTTACATTTCAGAAGGCTTTACTGCAGCATCTGATGCTGTTTGGCAGTAGTATACAGCCATCTGGGAGTGATAAGGGAAAAGAAAATGACCAGGCAAGAGCCCAGGCTATTTTTTGTCCAAAGTCCAAAAGATCTTTATGCTGCGCTCTATGCAGCCAAAATTCTGATCACTAAAGTAGATGATTATTAAGATTGCTTTAATGTTAAGCATATTCAGGCTGTTCAAGAATTCAGACGGCCCTCAGGGTGCACAGACAAGTGGTCATAAACTCCCTCTTAATCCAGCCAACTGTCAACATTCAAATCCTGCTCAAAGGATGCTCAAATGAAAAATCATGAACTCCCCCACATTTACCCGTCTTCAGTCAACAATGTCTGTACAAGGTAAAATACACATTCAATACTTTGTTAAACACATTTTATTTGTTTCAACTTGCATATATATTCATTTATAGTTATTTCTGAAAAAATAACCTCAGCACATAAGAAACTAAATAAAGGATATCTTAACATAAGAAATATATACATGTCATAGTATATCTTCTTTTACAAATGCCATAGAGAACTCTTGAAAAAACAGGGAAAAAATATAGAAAAATCTAAATAAATTACAAACAAATGTAAAAATACACCCAGTTTCACCCCGGTCAGAATGACGACAGAAATTGTGACCCCACCCTAAACGAAACATAATCAGATCACTAAATGAAATGAAATCGACTTTCACGCTGCAATGTAAAGGGGTCCAAGCATTTCTGCTGTGGGGTTTGTAGTTACAGATTTAGAGACAGTACGTGACATTCAGTTTGGGTGTGGCAGTTTTCACTCCCAATCTTCTGATTTGTTTATCAAATTACTGCGCATGGTAATGCTGGCTATTAAAAGATCAGATGGGACAGAAATGGCCCTTTCTGATTGAGAATCTCAACAGGTAAAGTGCTGAATGAATGAGGGGTCATAATAAAACAGACTAACAGAATACTGCCTGGGATCCAAAGGAATGTTTGGGATTGTTGAAAAGTTTCCTGGAAAACTGTAGCATGCTTGGCCCTGCTTCATGACTAGAATATGGCTGTTCTGTTCTGCTTATTCAAATGCAACAGATAACTATCCACTTACAATGATAAATTACATTCACATTCATAGTCCCTGTTGCAAGCCAATGTTTACTTCCAATTCCATATTATGGCTGACGAGCAGCTGCAAATGGAACTGTAAAAAACAGGATGACAAGCCCAGCTGATGTCACATTTTGCAACGCCCATTTGAGCTACTGCCAGTTCGATAATGCCAAGGTTATAGCTGCCCATATTCTCTCACAAAACATGCACACATCCCTTTTGTCCTCCCTCCTTCTCCTCCCCAAAGCCACGTTAAGCCATTTATCACAAACCCTTCTGCTATACTGCATTCCATCCACCCCAGTACCGCCCTCTCACCTTCATGCACTGCTGACCAACACTGTGCACGCACGAGTGCAAGAGACAAAGATTAGCCCGATTAACAGTCAACATCATTGCCTTCCTCCTGCTTCAAACCACGTTTATGGCTTTCGGAATATGAAAACACAGTCTTCCTGAACAGCTTCACAGTCTTTAAAGCATTACCACCATTTGACTCCTCTACAACGATATTTAGCTTATAAAGCATACAGTCCCACGAGAAAACTCCACTAAATTCAGACATCGTAGGTGTAATGTGTGCATTCACAGCCCTGACCAATACACATAAGCCACAGGGATTGGAGTGACAGGGGTAGGAGGATTGTAAGACACTTGTGTTGGCACAAAAAAAAAGAATAAAAAAAATAAACAAAACAAAAAACTCCAACTGTGACATGGCATTACTAGACCACATAGCAAGATCCTAGCCTTTGGTTTCCAAAACCCTTCAACCAAACCAGAACAATGAACAGTATGTGTCATTCTAGAGCCAAATCTTTGCATGGGGCTATGCTAGAGTGGGCCCACACTGCTCTGCCAAGCCAGAGAGAACTATACGTGGGTGAAGAACACCTGACTAAAATGACCTTTTCCTCATAACATTCAATGCAAAACATCAAAACATCTGTGCAGTAGGAGGCTGGTTACTCCCCAGGCTTAGGAGAAAGTTCCACAAGGAAAAAAGAAATAGCCTTGAAAACAATGAAAGGGGGGGGGGGAAGAAAAATCACTGGTAATTGTGGTCTTAGTAGTCATAACACTTACATGTTTTGTATTAGTAACAACTGGTGAAAAAGACAGTTCTCAAAAGTGTTTCCGTATTAGTATCTAACACTCCACAGCTTCAACTCAGTTGGCCAACACTACAGGCTGGAAGGCTTGGCTGGAATACTGCAGGTTGTACCCACCAAGGCCCTCCACGAATGGAGGCTTCTCCATGAAGGAAATCCCACTGCTGCCGCCGATGACGCCCACAGCTTGGCCTGGAGGTGGGCTGGAGAATGGGTCAAACGATGCATGGGGGTGGGCAGGATGTGGGGGTGGTGCTTGGAAAGGGCCAGTGTGGGTCAAGGGTGGAGCTTCAGTGTCAAAGTAGAGGGACCCCTGGGCAGTGGGGTAGACAAACTCTTTGGCATTCGGGGAAAGCTGGCTTGAAACCTGGCCAGCCAGGGAGTGCATTGAGACGGAAATGGGCTTGTGCTTCACCAGCCCTGGGGGAGATATGGTAGTGGGAGAGTGGCTCAGCATTCTTTGCTGAGGAACGCCAACGACACCGCCAGGTCCACCCACCACCCCAGACCCCCCACACTTTTTCATCTTGGTGGAACCAAACTTAGTGGCAGCAAAGCTGGCCGTGGTGAAGGTGATTTGCTGGGGAGCTGGGCGGGAGCTGGGTGCGGCAGCTGGATGAGGGTATGGCAGCCCTGTGCTGGGTGGAGAAGGGGAGGAAGCGTTGGAGTGTGCATTAGGATTGGTTGGTGTACTTGGGCCTGCATAGCTGAACAGACCCTGGCAGAGTGGAGTGGGTGAACTAGAGAGAGAAGGCAGCATGACTGGAGACACCTGGCCACCAATGGGCACAAACACCTGAGCATCAGGGTTGAAGCCCAAACTCTTCCCCTCCTCCAGCTCCAGATCTCCTTTGGCCATGGCTCCAATGCCTTCTGATGTTTCACCCTCACCCCCTAACCCTGGAGGATCCTCCATGTAGAGCACCTTCACAGCACCTTTCTCTCCAATCTGATAGGACACTTCATAAGGGTCAATCCAGATGCTGAGCTCCGGAGGGACGTTGGCACGGACTTCCTCCGTGTCCAACCCACTCCTTCTGGCTGCCAGATCCACTATAGGGTCCCTAGGGGCTCCTAGGTGCAGGCAACGGAAAGCTGAACCACGCAGAGGTGCCTCAGGGTACCAGTGCCCTTCAAAACGTGACACCAGGATGCGCTCCAGCTCCTCTCCAAACAGGTCTGCCCGTCGTCGTGGGAGCTTGTTGTACAAGTAGGACACTATGAAGTTCAATGCAACCTTTACCTCCAGATGCATGGCTGAAGAGAGGATCAGAGGCTCAAGATCAATGCTATGTCTTACAAAAGGCCTAAAACGGCCTCCACATGTCTCACCAAGTTTCGTTAGAGGAATGAAACGACCAGTCCTTGGTGTGGACGCTGCAGAGTAAAGACTGGCAGGCAGCCTCTCCGCTTCAAAGTGGAAGACTGGATGCAATCCACAGGATGACTCCTTAAATGGCTCTGACCACACAGGACTTACTGTGGCTGGATGACCCTCTTTAATCCCTCTGCAAATAACATAAGAAAAGAAATTAACTTTCAGAAGTCAAACACAGGGGATATAGAGAAAGGAGCATGACTGTTAGCAGATGCTATGGATGATGTAGCAATCCATGCTTATCTCAAATCCCTCATCTGGCCCTGCCGGCAGCAGCTAAAGCGCTCAGGATTACACTGGCATTGAGAGGGGAAAGTTCAGCTCCGAACAACACTGAATGAACACCAGAAAGGGAAACTTACTGCTAATATGAGTTCCTGGAGCAGCATTTCCCAATTCTGCACTGCCTATTTACTGTTTTCCTGATCAAATTAATCCAATTCAGAGTATTAACAAACATGACAAAAAAAGAAAAACAAAATAATGCAGTGCAGGAGAATGACCGATCTGGAGGAGTCAGGAACACTGTTTTCAAGGTTATAGCCAACATCTCCAGAGCATTCATTATACTTCAAATTACACCTGAAGTGATAAATGGATCTTTCAACTCTTAAAGACTTTTCTTGGCTGTGAAAATAAGGCCCAAAACTATATGCAGCAAATACATTTCTGTATCAACATTTTTTAAATGCGATTTCGAGTCAATATGCAGTACATTATGGGAATTGGTGCTTAGTTTTTAGGCACACTGGCAGCTTTATCTGAGCCTCAAGCCCACTTTCAGCATCATTTTTAAAATAAGAAATATGTCGCTGTTGTAGTACTTACTGAGACAAACATACTTCCTCCAAAAACTGTTACTTGTTCTAGAGAAACTTGCCCAGGTCAGAATTCTTCACCGATTGTTCCAAAATATTAAACTATTCAATCATTGAGAATGATTCACAGTAGAATGATGTGATACTGTGTATTGTTTTAAAAAAATATATATACAAAAAAAAAAATATTTACACTAATGGTGTTATTAACAAGGGGTCTCTGTCTTTAATGTGGCCACTAAAATGTTGCAGAAAAAAAGTGTTTTCTTCAGGGACTATTTTTTAATAAAATAAAGCAGTATATCAGGCATTATTTGTAACCATTTCATGGAATAACTGATTTGGCTTTTAGTAGCATGAAATGCTCTAGATAATTAGGTCCCATCACCACTGCTGTGAACAATTCCAACTTGGTAAGTTTCTCCAGAGCAAAGCATTTCACTTCAGACTACGATGAATGACTACAGCTTCATGATTACATTATGCAGATTTTAAAAAATAAAAAAAACAAAATTCCCTTTAATTTTTTAAAAAACATTTCCTCAGTTTGAAACCCTATTTAAAATACTGGAAATATGAATTAGTATGAAGTAGAACTGCAGCCTTAAGCTCTGTACTAAATGTTTCCTATTTAAAATGGAACTTTATCGATTTCTCAAAAAATCTACATAATTAAATGGTTGAGATCTAAACAATCATCCAGAGTGGTTTCATGTAAAATGCTTTGTTCTAGTCAAAACAGAGCTCTCTCACAGAAAGTCATTACATTAAATTGTTTATGCAGGGTGCATGCAGCAAAACATTTCCCAAAGAAAACATTTTTTCTGATTTATGACGATTTTACCCTCAACACTGCATGTAAAAACTCAATGTGTAGGTGCACTGGTGGTTTTGGATAGTAAGTAAAAAGGCTATATTTATGTTGTAGACATTGTGACCCCTGGTTCCCATCACCACCACTGTAAAGAAATCTGACTCCGTATGTTTCCCTACAATGAACCACTTCACAGACCACTATGAAAGACTTTACATCTCAAGGACCGAATTATTCCGAAACTTTGAAAAATCGGTGGAACCCCCTTTAAATTTGATCCTGAAAGCGGTCTTGACGCTGGCTTAAAATGGCCGGTGAGCAAAAAAAATAAATAAATAAATATTAAAACACCAATTCCCATAATGCACTGCAGTTTGACGTCAAAATCGCGTGTGTCCGCCTTCGCCGCTTCATCAAAACAGATCAGCGAACTCCAGATAACGTCCTAAAACTCTCCGATTTAACGTACGAATCTTCGTCGGTGGTCGGTATTAAAGTGTTCAGCTACACAGCCCCCAGCGCTGTTAGTGACTGTCACTGTTTGGTTTGTAGCATAAAGCAGAAATCATCCGCTCAAAGTCGACGAGATGCTCGACTTTGCTAGCTAACAGGCTAACGTTAATTCGGCAGGTTGCTATAGCGACTAATTAACTAGCCTTAATGGTTTTAATGGCAGATTCATTTTGACACTTAGATCATTAGTTACTGTTTGTGGAAACGTTTAATGTTAAACCGACCGGACAAACGGAATTAGACGAAAAGCTGTCGAAACGAGCCGTTAGCGATTTGGCTCGCTAACAATAACAAACAGCTGATTTTGTGTCTTGCTTAGGCGACTAATATTTCACAAACGTTAATGACCTCTTATTTAAAGCAGAGTTGTTGGTGCTTGTGATGTACGGCTGTTAGTCTGGTGAGATGAATTAACACGGTGGAGGCGAGAGCTTTCCTGAAAACATTCAATTCCTGCATTCAATGTCACTCAATGTCACACAATGCAAAACTGCAGTGTCAACGCACATACACGAAGATAGGTTTAAACAAAAGTGACCTGTAATGTCGACCACTTAATCCCTCGATTTCCAAACGTGAATCAATGACAACAAACTTCACACTTCAGTGACGTGGTTTGTAGTTTGCCCCCCTTCAGATTGAAGCTTTTGATCTCAGTAGACTAAACGTATTCCACCCTTTTCCCCTCCAGTGTACATTCAGACACACTGTGGGGGGCCTGTAGTTTTAGCCCAGGGTTTGTTGTTTTGTTCACAGCAGCATTGTTTGGACAGGACAAAGGCATTAGTATCCTCTACCTCTAGCAAGATCTAACCAACACAGACAATGTGACTATTTGAAAATAAAGCCACAATAAACAGTATCCCTACAGAATAAGTTTCACTGTATGTTTCAGTGCTGGTGAAGGAGAGTGCTTAGAATTTCTCACCAGGATGGACAGTTTGAAAGGGGACAACAGGGACTAGAAAAATAAAGTAATAACGAGGAATGTGCATCAACCAAACAGTTATTTGTCGAATTTTAATATGGGGCAACGAGCAGTGCCGCTAAATAAAGACATGGGACCGTTCCACCGACTTTTCCAGCACTTAAACAAAAAAAAAAAACACCATCTAAACTCAGCTGACCAACAGCACTTAGTCGCAGTACAGCAGTAGCTTCGCTGTACAGCTGAAAAGGCGAAAATACACGAGCATTTCGTATTTAAAGTGTTTCGGCCCCACTTGCCTAGAATAACATCGACTAGAAGGCTCAAGTACCCTGCAAGCAGAGCAAAAACCTAAACATACAGCACCCAGGTTTCATCATGATCAGCAGATCTTTTCATTAAGCAAGTTGAGGTGGCACTAACAACACACCAACCTCTAAAATGGACGACAGACAGCTAGAGCTCTTGACTCATTCAATACTAAAACCTGCAATAAGAGCGCACCGAAGACATCGTAACATCATTTATCTAAGGCGAAGACGAGAAAGATACCAAACGAACAACACAATAATGTTATATAACGGAATAAATCTAAAGGCGAGAGACGAGGTTACTCACAGCAAGCGTTTTTCTTATTATCCCACCAGCAGGACTCCTATGAATGAAGTGCGAGTCGGACAGCTGTTCTGGCACTGGGGAAATGGGGGTTTTTTAAACATGCGAAATTGAGTGCACGGAGTGAAATAACGTTAAAAGGGACATTTGCTGATACACGCACTGCTTCTTATACCCTCCACTCTGAAGCAGCCTGGGGAAACTTTACTGTTTGACAACCGCGTGCATTTATATGAGACACGTTGGGACACGCCCCCGTGTGATGACGCGGAACAAGCTGGAACTACTTTCCACACATTGTAGTAATTAACACAGGGATTTGACATCACAGCACAGGGGCGCACACACACAGACATACACATTTATGTACACACAAACACACACACATATTATATATATATATATATATATATATATATATATATATATATATATATATATATATATATATATGGCAATTAACTTTCTCTGGAACTTTCTATGGTGTATGGTGTACTTTCATGTCAAGGTTTAATGGTTGTACTACTAAATGGAATAAAACAGCAGGAGTCTACGATTATATTGTCTGACCAGATGTTTTTATTAATCCACCCTGCCCTTTTATTTCTTTTTACCCTATTTTCAGTTGAGACAAATGAATGGATGCCACTATTTGTCATGCATACACGGTCAGTAATACGCTCACTACTTTATGTGGCGAAGTGATATTTCTGTGTGGAAGGCTGTGCTATGCAATGCTAAAAATATAAGAAGTGATAGCAACAGAGCTGCTATTGGCTGAAAAGGGGGAGGAACCAATGTCAGTTGGGCTGCCAGGATGTCCAGTCAGCAATGCAAGTACTGGCCACCTTAAAGAACTGCATCATGGGAAGTGTAGTCTTAGTTGACTCGGGACCATTTCCCTAAACATTTCAGCTGATGAACAGAATAAATCAGAAAACGTATCATGATTTGGCGTTATAATGTCAAAGGATCCATTGGAGAACGAATATGTTGTATTTCTATAAGGCCTACAGAACTAAATGTTGTATACTTAAGCCCCACAGTGCTTTGTATGTTAATTTTATTATTCTGTAGAGCATTGCACACCAGAAAATGATCCATATATGTGTAGTTAGCAGCCTACTTAACTAGTTGCACACTGATTTTAACAAGATTGAGCAAAATTTGTTAAGAACTGTCACATCATACATTGCTATACTGTCTTAGAGTTGGTTTTAAAATTTTGTCTGTAACAGTAATATTTTCATCATTACTATAAATGCATAGTCATAGTGGTTCATCTCTGTATTCAGCAGAGCTTTTAGAGATTTATTCCCAGAGTACGTCTTCTACATCCTCAGAGAAATGGCTTCTTAAAATAGGAGGGGATATTGAGCTTTCTAGGTAAAGGCCTCCTTTTTGGGGAATTCATTAAAATTACAATAGCTGGGACTGATGCTTGACTCTATGGATTTCTGTGGTTATTCCTGGATTAGTTTCAACTTCAAGTTTCATTATCTTTACTTGCACTGCCATCTTACATAATAACCTGTTGAAATAACAGGAAAGCAATGAATATTTTATTGTTCTGTATATTTTGAAAGACAGGATTGCTTGTAGACATGGATAATCCAATGTTGCTCTCTGTGGATTTGACCCAGGGCCTACTGGACTAAATGGCCTCACTTTATTGTACAGACATTTCCTCTTTGTCGGGATGAATGAATTCACTTTAGCTGAAAATGGTTTCTTTCCACATACAGCCAAAGCACGAGTACCACGGTAATGCATTTTACTGCCACTCTCCCCTTTATAATCAGAAACTACACTCACTGAACAACAACAACTGTGCATATTACTCTCCCTGAACGTCTCAGTTTATATTCAGTTTACTTCATTATTCCTTATTTTCTTTTTTGTTAAAGATTTCACATTCTATGATACCCATTCTTACAAACTGTAACCTCCTAAATGGCCAGGATACATACGTCAATTACCTAACAGTAATTCGGTTTGCATTGTGGTGCATGAAGTAGTTATACAGTGATTCATAATAGTGACTGATGGTGATGGCAATGGGACAATATAGTGTTCTGTGTATATCATTGATATCATTAGAACAACAGTATATATCATAAAAAGGCAGATTTTTATAAATTATAGAGAGTACACAACCTAATTTTTTTCATAGATGTGGCACTATTTTGTTTTGCTTCTGTATTTTGGTCATTCCAAGTTGTTCACAAAAAAATTGTTTTCAGTACCTCAATGTATTTTCACCAAATTAGTGAATAATGGATGCCAGGGATTAATAACTAAATAATAAGCCCACAGGTTTAAGGGTTAAGTTTGATTTTTCATTTCTTTCTTCTGTTTATACTCTGCCTCTCCGTGAAGAAAGTCCATCTGAACAACTGCTGTACAGTTATATGTTAGAAGAGTTGGGTAGAATACAGTAGTGATGGCCAAATACTGAGTACTCTGTCCTAAAACACTGCTAGAAAAACCAGCATAGACCAGCATTGCTGGTCACCAGCAGAACTAGCATTGGGTTTTGCATGCTGGTATGCTGGACAGCAGCAATGGAAGTTATTAGGCTGATCACCAGCAAAACCAGAATAGGTTGTGTTTTGGATGACCACTCTAAGTGAGCACGTACATCAGCACCAAACCAGTACTTGACCAGAATAGACCATCTTAGACCAGCATGGAAAGCATACTGATCTGTGCTGGTTTTTTTCAGCAGGGAAAATTGCTGATCACTTGAATGAAGTTACAAAATGGTCAATGCCTGCTTCAGTCTACTGCTGCTTCTTAAAATCCCCTGGGCAGAACTGCCGCCTCTCTCAAGAACTCAGCAAAAGTCACTTTTTGCTAAATGCTCCTGGGGACCCCCATAATGACTACTCATCTTTTGTACTTGTGAGTTGTCACAAGCCTAAATTTAAATGTAAACTGTACTGAATAGAGTTCTTATTTGAATACTGCAACACAGTTCAGCACCTATTTAACATATTTCCTGTCTTAAACTCACAATCATAGAAAGTTAAAATTTAAAACCAATAAATAGTTTCTGTAAATCATTCACCATACGCCATTAGCAATATATAATTTGACTATAAAATTGGTACCTAAGTGATTTGCAGTTAATGTCACATATGTGCCATCATCATGCCACAAAACACACATATTGAGTCCAATAAAAATGTTGATTCCAAGCTTCTCACTTCACTAAGCTTCTGAACATGTTCACTACTGAGATGGTTCAGTGTGATCGTCCCTCAAAGGACCTCAGTCACTCTGAGATTAATAACTGATCATCACAGTGATTTATCAGTCTACTCAGGCTTTAGCAGGAACTTCAGTGTTTGAACATAAGCTGTTTGTTGTTTTCCTCTTAAGAGTCTAACAAGCGTCTTTACAACACACCATGCTCTGATTTTAAATAGTTAATAAACAAGCATGGATGTTTTTTCTTTTATTATTTATTAAGATGTAAAAAGTTTATTAATTTATTTATTTAGAATAATTGGAGTAATTATAAACGTATTCTCCTGAATTTGAAAAAGTAAGAATATCCTGACTACTGCATTTTAAAAGGCAGTACAGATATTTGAATACAGATATTTAATTTCTGTATTATTAATACCCAAATATTTACATCCCAGCCCAAGACAGAAGGGGCTGAATTATTAGCCTACAAGTTTATATAATTACATGTATAAATTCTGGCGAAACAATGTGGTTGTTGAGAGATTTTAATAGGCACAATAACTGATTTTGCCCAAGCACACTATTATATGTGGCTGTATTTGCATGAATTGAAAATAAAAGCTGTAAAAAGTGTAAATTTATCAGTGTGATTATCAAATTATGCCAGTGTGGTAGCTCTCATTTGCGGTCATATGAGCTGGCAGCTGAGTGGACAGGATTAACATATTTGATTGATCTTGTTTGTAAAATAATCCCAATAAACCAGTACAATTTAAAGTAATGTTCAAGTACTGTAAAGCCACCGTGAATAGAAGAAAAATACATAAATACTTGATTAATCTTTGTTAATTTT